ACAGACTTTGTTGATTTACCAACAGTTGATTTAAAAAAATCTAATACATTTCAGTCCAACTCTCTCAATAACCTTGGCCAAAACAATAAACAGTTCAACATAAAGTGCCAGTTGCACCAACAACGTAATAAATAGTTCAACATAAAGTGTACCATGTACCATTTAAAATAAAATAAAAAAGTGCCAGTGATTGACCTCAATCCCTCCTATTCTTCCAATATCCTGATGAAAAATAAAATCTCTCTGTTGCATAGGCCACTCTTTGATCAACGCGAATTGCGTGTGGGTCCTTGTACTCCGAGTCGGGCTAACGTCCACGCTAGCTTCCACGCTAGCTGCTATATGTTTTGCATTGAGGTGATACTTGAGGCTTGATGTGCTGCGGTGATATGCAAATTCCTTTTTGTATAATTTGCAAACAACCGTGCTCTTATTGACGCTTCCATCCGTCCGTTTTTTAAAACAAAATGTCCCATCCACGGGGCCAACCAAAGCGGTCTCATCAGCTTCTTCGTTCATGTTTGACTATTGTTCACTGTGGTTTGTTGTTGTCTGAAGTAATGAACGTTAGTTGGTGCTCCAGTATAATCGGTACCCCTGAAACTCATCCAGTGAGAAACGTTCCGCGGTGCAAAAATAAGTGCGATTAAAATGCGTTAATTTTTGTGTAATTAATTAATCTTAATTAACGCGTTAAAGTCCCGGCCCTAATATATATATATTATATTATTATCGGTTATCGGTATCGGTCTTGAGAAGCAGGAAGTTATCAGTATCGGTTTCAAAAAAACAATATCGTGCATCCCTAGTTTTAGCACCGAAAAAATATCACCGAATGTCAGAGAACACGGTTACGTTGATCATACTCCGCATATTTGTCCGGGTGTTTTGATTTCAAGTGGTGGAGTAATCCCGAAGTGATGAAAGTCTTTGCAGTTACACCCCCCCGAGAAATGTCTGCTGAACACGTTTTACAAATCGCAATCCGCGCCTCTCTCTCTGATATTTTGAAATATCTCCAAACGACAGACATGTTGGCTCTGAGCCAGCCGCGAGCATGGTCGCGCGCCGTGCTTGTCACGTTTTGATTACGTCATGACAACAACACGTTAGGTTACCAAACTTATAGGTGCATTTGTTGTTGTTGAAGGCCTGGCAGACTTTATTTACACTATTTTGTTGTAGGCCTACTGGCCTAGATGTTTATGCAGTTTTAAAGCACCCTGGCTTTGTTCTGAATGCACTTTGTTGTAGTTATCCTACAGAGAAAAGAAAATGCACTTGACTTGGAATTAATGTACTGTATGCATTCAAAAGTGCTGAATAAATGTTTTATGGACCCATAATAGTGATTATTATTTAAGTTAAGTTAAGTTTTGCCATAATCATGTCTTTTTCCATAATCAGGCAGCTGAACAACATTGTAAAAAATGTATACATTATATATATATATTTCTATTAATCATTTTCGGCATTCGGTCAACTGTTTCCTATTTTCGGTATCGGTTTCGGCCAAGAATTTCCCATTCGGTGCACCCCTAGTAAAAAGCATGGACAATCATTTTAGCCGGCCCGGCTAAAATAACTGGATGGCCTACCTGCCTGTCAGCCTTCCATCTGTGCACATACTTATCTCGTGCCCTCATTGGTCATGTAGGGAATATGGAGGAGGGCTCTGTAAGGAAGTGTATTTTCAAATTCTAGCGCACTCGAGCTGGTTTCTCCAAAATTGTCTACCCCACCTTTAAGGTTCAGAAATATTATATTTTAAACAAAGCTGTGTTTTCTTAAAATATATCAAGTATAAAAGACGATCTTTTTTGTCTTTAGACAGAATGAGAAAATTATGTATAGAAAAAGGACTAGTTTGTTGAATTGTTTAAAAAAATAATCTAAACTAAATATCTTTATTTCAACCTCACAGTAAAGCCAAAGTTTAACGATCGCAACATGAAGACCTTTGTGGTGGTAAGGTCTGGAAACACAGTCCGTCTGAACATCAACTTTGAGGTATTGTGCTGGAAGTTTTCTTCCCAATGGGATGACTGTACAATCAACAAATCAACAAATGTAATATCTTTCTTTATCTTTACAGGCCTGTCCCCTGCCAGAAATTACTTGGCAAAAAGATGGTATTCCAGTGCCCAAACATGTAACTATTACCAACTCTGATAAAGGCTCTCAGCTATGGATCCCCACATCTGATCGGCCCGACAGTGGCATCTACACCATAACTGTCAAAAACATTGTCGGCCAAGCAAGCTTCAATGTTGAAATCAGAGTTACAGGTAAACTTATGTGCGCACTCCACAAACTACAGTTCAGGATAATACAAAAACAGTGACAATACAGACACTGAATGCATGCTTTGTCATGGCTTCCTTCTATGTTCCCTTCAAACGTTTAACACAATATACAGTTGACCCAATAAACCCCAGTTGGAATAATCAAATCCAAGTGTAAAATGCAAACAGACTAACAGCAATGAGAAACTGAACTCGATGCAGATTGTTTGTATGTACTGCTTGTGAATATAAATATACACTTTTGTAACTTGGACCTCTGTATTTGTGTGCCTCTAAATTTGGTTTTAGATGATCCCAAGCCCCCAGGTCCTGTGGAGCTGGATCAGAACATCCCAGGAACAGTGACCCTGTCCTGGACTCCCTCTCCAGATGAGAAGAGAGATGACAGACTACACTACATGGTAGCTAAGAAGGACTCCTTCAAACGCAGTTGGAGGACAGTCGCAGATAACCTCTTCAACAATAAATGCACAGTAGTCAATATTTTGTCTGGACGGGAGTATCACTTCAGGGTGTTTGCTAAAAATGACATTGGTCCTTCACCACCTTCTGAATCCCCTGTTTTTGGAACCATAAAGGAAAAAGGTGTGTGCCTCTGATTCAATCACAAAAACATTGGAATTCATTCTCATTATCCTGTGTACACAATGCTGAATTTTGGTTCTTATTCTTAAGATTAGGTTCCTGCAAAATCCAGCGCATTTTGTAATAGGTTTAGAGGACTAAGAAAATAGCGGGAAAAAAAATGCTCAAAATCGAAGCAACACAGACCGATACTGTTTATTTCTACTTCTAGTCACTTCTACTTGATGCAGATAAAGAGAACCAATGGCAGGACGATTAAAAAGCATAGACACATAGGGGATATAGATTACAGCAAAGTTATAATGTAAACATTAGAAGAAATGTTCAATATGATGGTTAAGGGAGAAATCTTTAAAAGAGAATATATCTTCTCAAGATATAGGATTATAATAATCTAAAAGTGTCAACTTGATACATTTCTTGTGTTTCAGGAAAGTTCAAAGTAGACATGCCAGAGAGAAAATCTTTGGATTTCCAGTCCCCTCCATCGTTCATTGTTCCACTAAAGAGGCGTACAACTCCACAGGGTTATGAGTGCTACATGAGCTGTGCAGTTAAGGGGGATCCAGCTCCACGTGTGACATGGTACCGCAACGATATGAGCCTGAACACAAACACCAACTACCACATCACAAATGTTTGTGGCGTCTGCTCCCTGCTCATACTACGGGTGGGGCCCAAAGACAACGGGGAATACAAAGTGGTCATTGAGAACAAACTGGGGACAGCCGAGTGCTCAATGATGCTGAATGTCAGAGGTATTTACACTTAATTCAAGTTTGAGAATGTAACCGTTTTTCATAAAGAGACTGATGATAGATTTGAGAATACAGTACGATAATAAAACAAAGTTATACCACCAATGTTTTTCTTTACAGAGTGAAGAAGAACTTCAGCTGCTGGACAGAAGCTAGACGAGCAGAAGTCTTAACATGTTTTAAATCAATTAAATTAAATAAAACTAAATGTAACTACAGATTGAATACATTTTAAGTTAATCTATCTCCCACCTTTGTGAAACACAAATATAAAAAAAACAAGCTTGAGAAAACATGAATTGTGCCTTTTGGAAGAATGTCACACGTTGTGCTTTGTAGAGATATTAAACTATCATGCTATTATTTACTTGATGAAGTCAGACACACTGTAATAGTAGTAGTCCTATTGGGCAATGTTTTTACTTGTTTCTTATGCGTTAGGACACACTAGTGCATGACTTTGTACTAGTACAGGGCGTTACATTACATTACATTACATGCTTACGCTTTTATCCAAAGCAACTTACATACACTTGATGCATGGCGATGGATATCATTCGGGGTTAAGTCTCAGGCCCAAAGACACATTGAAATGTTGACTATAGGGGTTCAGCCATACATGTGTTCATTCATGTAAAGTCTTGCATGTTAGAAAGAGACTGCACTGTTTTATTGTGTTGCCTATGATCTGTTCTTCACTGTGCTATGCAAGTTATTGTAACACAATCATTTCAGCATTCAAATGAGTGTTTGAAAATGGACAGTTATGTTACAGGGATGCAAACTCATCAGGTATGAAAAAGGTGACAAGGATCCGAGCCCCCGGCTCCCCCACCCCACGGAATATCGGCTTTAAAATGAGGAATAACAGAGGATTTTAGCAGTCAGAACAACTAAAGCAGCAGTGTTAATAATAACAGAAACGCCAAAGATTCACATCTAATAGAAATATATAAAAGCATTTATTTTAAATTGTGTAGCAGTCAGTTTATAATTTTGGCAGCACTGTTGAGCATTTTGAAAATGTATTTTCTACAGTTCAGAGGTACATGGTGTACTTCTACTCCCCTACATGTATTTAATACCTTTAGTTACTTTACAGATGTGGATGAATGATGTGAA